GACGTACGAGCGACGTCTAAGACCATGCCAATGCGGCGCTCAGCAATCCCATTTTGCTGCGGGGAGTTCGGAAGCGTGAAGATCTGACGGATGCCTCGTGCGTGACAGTAAGCGCTGAGAAGGCCAGTAGAAAACTCTTCGCCTCTGTCCGAGTGCAGACGCAGAACAGGAAAGTCCGAGCCAAAGCTCTGCCTGAGCTGGAGACGAGCTGCGCGGATCCAGTCGATCAGCACCTCAGTGACATCACCCTTGCTGCGCAAGGGGAAGACCATGGTGTAACGCGAGTAGTCGTCAACAAGCAGCACGAAGTAGCGCTCGTGACCCTGTCCACGAATGCGGGCTGGGCCCCACACGTCCATGTGAAGCGTCTGCAGCGGGGCCTCCGTCGGAGGAAACTGGGAGGAGTGAGGGGCAGCCCGCTGGCGCCCCTCGACACAGGGGACACAGGTAGGGCCAGGGCCCTGAAGAAGGGGAGGGAGGGACCGGGGGAGACCAGAAACAAGAAGACGGGAGGCCATGCCTCTGAGCCTAAGCGGAGAGGGGTGACCAAAGCGGTGGTGCCAGAGGAGGGTCTCGTGAGACAGGAGACGACACGAACAGGGGGCAGACTCAGGACCAGACCTGGACGCAGCAGCAAACACCTGACCTGACGAAGCTACCCTACCAGACTCTGCAACTGGAGGAGACGCAGTGGTCAGTGTGTACAGGCTCGACCCCGGCTGACGGGTAAACGTAGCCAGGTGTCGGCATGTGCTAGCCTCTGTACAGTGCGTCACCCGCTGACGCGCTGGAGTGAACTAGTGGACTCCCCCATCCTGTAGGTCAGCACCACTCACCAAGTTCGTAGAGAACGAGGGGAGGTAGAGACCAGACAGGGTGCCAGAGGGAGCCGCCGGACACGAAAGGACTGTGGAGAAGTGAGACAGGACAGGACCCCCAGAGGGGTCAGCCAGAGACACCGCGACCGGCCGACGAAGCGGCGTGAGTGTGGTGCGGTCGCGAAAGAAGGAGCGAGAGGCCCCAGAGTCAAGGGTGAAGGTGAGGGAGGCCGAAGCCGGCGCAGTACGTGAGAGCGCAGACTCACCAGTACCTGAGGACGCAGACGTACTAGCACCTAGAGCAGCAGCGTCGCAAGCACCTAGGGCAGCAGCCTCACCAGTACCTAGAGCAGCAGTCTCAATGCCCGGATCGGGCGGGAAACACCAGTAACAGTCACTCTCATCACTAATAGACACAGCATACATGGGAGAGAGAATAGCATCAAAATCAAGATCATAGATAGCAACTCCCGCCCTAGAAAGCTCGCCCCAGCGAGGGATCTGTGTGGCCTCCAGGAACTGGCGACGCCACGCGTTCGTCGGGCGGCCAAAGCAGCGCTGGGTGGGATGCGCACCCCCACACTGCTCGCCCGCACGGTCGCCGGTGCGTAGGACGTAGGTGCACGGACCAAAACCCCCACCCCTCTGGCATGCAGTGTACCACTCACAGAGCTGCTGAGGGGACAGGGCCTCACGAACGCGTTGCTGCTGCTGGCGCTGACCACCACCGGAGCCACTCCTCAGCGTAGACCCGCGACCAGCTCCACCGCCACCCCCGCCGCCTCCACTGCCTCCACCGCCTCCGCTACTACCGCCGCCTCCGCCGCCTCCTCCACTGCCACCACCTCCGCTACCCCCGCTCCCACTGCCGCCGCCGCCGCCGCCTCCGCCTCCAGTGCCGCCACCGACACCTCCACCCCCACCTCCACTCCCACCGCCACCCCCACTCCCCCCGCCGCCTCCACCTCCACCTCCACCGCCCCCGCTCGCTCCTCCAGTGCCCTTGCCCCCCTTGCCCTTGCTAGAGCGGCGTCGCCCGCTAGGGGCAGACCCCGCACCGACCGACTAAAGACCAAGAAGGTCGGCCGTAGCAGCAGAGGCAACAGAGGGCAGAAGGGGGGAGGGGGAACACCCCTAAAAAATGGGGGTGCACGGGTCACCACGAGAGGCCCCTATAGCGACTATGCTCTTCTCGGCCGCTAGGAGGGACTTCTCAAGGAGGTCAACAGTGAGATTGGTGGGACAGACTGAGAGAAAGTGGTCCCTGACGACTCAAAGGGAGTCAGGGAGGCGAGTGACTATTTAGTAGAGAGTGATGTACATGGGGGGGGGGGGGGGGGTTCTTGGCGCAGAAGTCAGCAGGAAGTGCAGTGCGGTAGCGAGTGTCACTAGTGCGGAGGTGCGTAATGAGGTCAGCGACTTTGGGAAAGGCAGCAAGGTCAGGGAAGAGGTACGGTAGCATGAGACGGCTCAGTGCAGCAGTGGCAGGGGAAGAGTAGCGCGCAACTACAGCGTCGTACAAGGTCTGAGCACTCTTGTACTGACTAAAGTGCGCACGCTCGGAGGTAGGGAGGTGGCGACGCACAGCAAGACGTGCAGCAGCGTCGCGCGTGGCCCACTGTGAGCGAACCGTGGCGTCAGCATCAGCAGTAGGGGCAGGAGAGGCGCCAGAGGTGAGGTCAAAGAGAGAGAGACTGTCTGTCCTATCGCACTGTAAGAACAGCTGCAGTTCATCTATCCAGACCTCAAAGTTAATGGCTCGACCCTCAACATCAAAAGCGAGGACACTGGGGGTACCCATGACCACAGTGGACTAGCAGTGCAACAGGAGGGTGAGGGGAGTGCAGTAAAAGGGGCACTGTGCTCACCAGACAGGGTAGCTCAGGCGGCTCGGCAGTAGGGCGGCTTGGCAGCGCGGCGGCTCGTCGACTGGGCGGCAGGGCGGCTCGACTGTAGTGCGGCTCGGCGGCCCGGCGGCTCGACTGTACGGCGCCTCGGCAGCTGGGCGGCTCGGCTGCTGGGCGGCTCGGCTGCTCGGCGGCTCGGCGGCGGGGCGGCTCGGCTGCTGGGCGGCTCGACTGCTGGGTGGCTCGACTGCTGGGCGGCCCGGCTGCTTGGCTGCTCGGCAGGGTGGAACGGGTCGGGCAGCAGAGGGTGGCGGGGCCGCAGGTGAAGGCGGTGGGGCCGCAGTAGAGGTCGGCGAGGCCGCACCAATGGGCGGCGGGGCCGCAGCAGAGGGCGGCGGGGCCGCACGTGAAAGCGGCGAGGTCGCAGCAGAGGGCGGTGCGGCCGCAGCAGAGGGCGGCGGGGCCGCAGGTGAAAGTGGCGGGGCCGCTGCTGAGAGCGGCGGGGCCGCAGTTGAGGGCGGCAGGGCCGTAGTTGAGGGCGGCAGGGCCGCAGCAGAGGGCGGCGAGGCCGCAGAGAAGGGCGGCGGGGCCGTAGCAGAGGGCGGCGGGGCCGCAGCAGAGGGCGGCGGGGCTGCAGGTGAAGGCGACGGGGCTGCAGCAGAGGGCGGCGAGGCCGTAGCAGAGGGCGGCGGGACCGCAGCAGAGGGCGGCGGTGCCGCGGTAGTGAGACGGCGGGGCCGTGAGGAGGGCGGCGACAGGCCGCTACTAGGGCGGCGACGGGGCCGCTGGTGGACGGGCGGCTCGACGCGGCCGTTAGGGCTGCGCGCCGCGACAGTATGGGCGGCACGACGGGCCGCTAAGGGCGGCGCGACGTGCCGCTGAGGGGGGACGCGACTGGGCCGCTAGGACGGGTGCGACCCTAGGCGCGCTTCGGGCAGGGGCAGGACGCGCCCCGGGCAGGGGAAAAAAAAAAGTGATCGGTGGGCCCTAGGAACAGTTCCCACAGGGGAACCTGCTCGATACCATGAGAAAGTATGAACGAGAATGAATGAACTATGAATGAAGTGAGTACAAGTACTAACCCTAATTGGGTTGTACCCCCTATAGGATACCCCATTATAGCCTACACAAAAGCATAAGCTATAATATTTTGACAATTATGTATGAACATTTTGTCACGATATTCAACATTCTGTTGTGTACTAATATAATAAAGCGTTATTACATGGATGCCGTCACAATCAAAGTAACTATATTATGTTTTCATGAGTTCGCATGGGTCATCGAGTTAATTTTGGCGGAAACAGTGATTCGCGCTAAAACAGTTCCGAGTTAATTGTCCCCTCTAAAACGCTAGAAGAACACCGAGCCTCCCCACTCCGATTGGGCTCCCGAACGCACCCAGTCCCAGTCGGGGTGGAACTTCCAGAACCAACCACGAGGTTTCTCTCACGGGCAAATCTCACCCCGAGCGTAAACCGACTGCAGTCCAGGTTCTGAAGCGGACTGCAGTCTTTCTAGTCCGACTGGGGAGTGGGGTTTTGCCAGTTTTGAAGGGAAACCGAGCTCTCGCTCGTACCTCGGAAAGTGCTAGGCAGTTCTTCCAGTCCGATTAGGCCTGGTCGGACTGGAGTGCCTCCCGAGCAGCCCTGGGAGCCAGAAACGATGGTTCCTCGTCGGTGTTGACTTGCGGAAATGAGAGGAATCAAGAACATTCACACGCACTCACTTGACGTGTGGGACAAGTATGGGATGGCACCTGAGGGTTGCCGGATTGCCGAATCGCCAGTCGGCTCCAGCAATGTGTCCCGAAATCCAGAACGGCCGGACTCAGTCCGCTTCGGGACGGGTCGGAGTCGCAAATTCCAGGACAAGCAGACTCTCTGACGAGTCTCAGTGTCCCAAACCCTCCAGTCATTAAACGAGTAATTCTTGGCTCAACTTCATACCCGCTACATCACAAAACCCCCCCTATTAGATAGGTCAATATTTGGACCAATTTTGGTGTTTCCGTCCAAAGTCGGGCCATTATTGGTCTCATTGTGTGGACCAATATTGGTGTAGTTGCTAAGATGAAGTTTGGGCTATGTTTGGCCAAACTTTAGATGAGTTTAAGGGACATTTTTTTACCAAATCTACTCTCAGCTTTAACCCAAGTTGGACCAAACATGGTCCCAAACTAGAGTCTGGTTGGGCCCAATACAAAACTGCCATTTGTATGAAATTTCATTTTAAAAACCATTTTTATTGCAAAAACATATTACAGCATAATGTACCTCCAGATATAGCAAAACAATACCGAACACGTGTATTGCTTCTACACTACCACATCCTTCTACTGATGGTGGGTTGGTTCTACTGATGATAAGAGCACTGCCACATCCTTCCCTGCTGCTCCGCACCTGTCCCCATGCTGCCACTGCTGCTCCGCACCTGTCCCCATGCTGCCCCTGCTGCTCCACACCTGTCCCCATGCTGCCACTGCTGCTCCGCACCTGTCCCCATGCTGCCACTGCTGCTCCGCACCTGTCCCGATGCTGCCACTGCTGCTCCGCACCTGTCCCGATGCTGCCACTGCTGCTCCGCACCTGTCCCCCTGCTGCCCCTGCTGCTCAGCACCTGTCCCCATGCTGCCGCTGCTGCTCCGCACCTGTCCCGTTGCTGCCACTGCTGCTCCGCATGTCCCCATGCTGCGGCTACTAGTTGTTACTGCCACTGCTACGCCCCTCCGCACCAGTCTATGTGTTGCTCCTGCAGGTTGCTATTGCGACTGCTACGCTACTCCGCACCTGTCTCCGTGCTGCTCCTGCAGGTTGCTACTGCCACGGCTACGCCCTGCACCGATCCCCCTAGTGCTGCTGCTAACCTCTGTGATTACGGGTTTGGGGTGACAACCCGGGCTGGTGCAGGTCGTGCAGCCTGTGCAAAGAGGCATAGGGGACGGAAGGGGATGGAAGGAAGGGGACGGATGAGATAGGAGGAAGGGGACGGATGAGAAGGGAAGAAGGGGACGGATGAGATGGGAAGAAGGGGACGGATGAGATGGGAGGAAGGGGACGGATGAGATGGGAGGAAGGGGACGGATGAGATGGGAAGAGGGGGGAGGGATGAGATGGGAAGAAGGGGACGGATGAGATGGGAGGAAGGGGACGGATGAGATGGGAGGAATTCAGCAATGCTGGTGCCATAGCAAGATCTTGGTGCCACATAAGCAAAGTGTCGGTGCCATATTAGCAAGGTTTTGGTCCTAGGGATGACTTACCTGCACCCTGCTGACAAGGGTCTCCATGTCAGACGCGTCGATGTAGACGCCGTTGGGGAAGTTGAATGTGTTTGTGTTATTGGCGTATGGGACACCATGGTCAATGACAGCGATCTCGACCTCCCGCTTCACACGGGTGCACATCTCCTCGTACTGGATCCGATTGTACTCCCACTTGCCACTCAACTTCCCATCAGGCGCGTTGTTGAGGATTGGCCACTCAAACTGTAGGAATGTGGTGGGTATGAGGTGGGAATGTAGTGGAATAAATGAACAGAAAAAGGTTAACACAACACTAAATCGCTCATCGCACACGTGGCAACAAACATAACACCTTGTCCATAAACTCACTGCATATAGGATCCAACCCAGCTGGCGGGTCTTAATCTTCTCAGAATTGACCCCACGACGCGCCAAAGCCAACTTGATGGACACCGAGAAGATGAGGCTGCCGAAAGGGATGAGGAGCTCCCGATGCCATGCCAGCCCCCTCTCCCCTGAAATGGGATTGCATGGTCATAGGAGACAAAGGGATGAAAGGTGGTGACATGATGGTGACTAGAGGGCAACCGAAATGGGCAACGTGGAACAAAGTAGTGCTTATAGAAATTATTGGTACACACATAACAACAACCACGGGATCAAAAGCTTCATACAAACTCACCATCCTTGTAACGTGCAATGAGCTCCTCATCCGTGTAGAACTCGAGTGGGGCAAGCAGATCTGCTGGTAACCTCCCCAAGTAGCACCTGTTCGCCTGCCGACCCAACGCCGTGAGTGCCACCTTTCTCATCCAGCCGTTGATAGAAGTCCTAGTTGAGGACAGCTGCTCGAAAAAGACCCCTCTGGTGCTGGCATCGTTGTGCTGAAAGAGCGCACGCAACGAGGCCAGAACCTGTGGCGACACAAACTCGCTAAACCCATGATCTAAGGCCTCTTCCGCAGATGGGTAGAACTGAATCGTTGAAGCTTCAATGTTGAAGAAAAGATGTGTTGCTACACGCCTAGACAATTCCTGTAGATTGGAGGGGGATAGGGGAGGTGGCAGATATGGAAGGCAAGCGGTAAGGGTTTGCAAGTGGCTATTCGGGTTAAGGGTAGAGGGCAGGGAAGCAAGTGGGGAAGCAAGTGGGGTTTCGGGTTGATGGTAGAGGGGGCAGACAGAGCATAAGTCATAGTTTAGGTAAAGCCTCACCTCCCTAAACCTGGATGGGAAGCAAGTGGGGTTTCGGGTTGAGGGGAGAGTGGGCAGGCAAGCAGAGGGGAGTTGGGGTTTAGATAAAGCCTCACCTCCCTAGGCCTGTATTTAGGGTAGCAGGTGGGGTTTCGGGTTGAGGGGAGAGTGGGCAGGCAAGCAAGAGGGGAGTTGGGGTTTAGATAAAGCCTCACCTCCCTAGGCCTGTATTTAGGGTAGCAGGTGGGGTTTCGGGTTGAGGGGAGAGTGGGCAGGCAAGCAAGAGGGGAGTTGGGGTTAAGGTAAAGCCTCACCTCCCTATGCCTGGATGGGGAAGCAAGTGGGGTTTGGGGTTGAGGGGAGAGTGGGGAGGCAAGCAAAGGGGAGTTGGGGTTTAGGTAAAGCCTCACCTCCCTATGCCTGGATGGGGAAGCAAGCGGGGTTTGGGGTTGAGGGGAGAGTGGGCAGGCAAGCAGAGGGGAGTTGGGGTTTAGATAGAGCCTCATCTCCCTAGGCCTGTATTTAGGGTAGCAGGTGGGGTTTCGGGTTGAGGGGAGAGTGGGCAGGCAAGCAAGAGGGGAGTTGGGGTTTAGATAAAGCCTCACCTCCCTAGGCATGTATTTAGGGTAGCAGGTGGGGTTTAGGGTTGAGGGGAGAGTGGGCAGGTAGGTAGAGGGGAGTTGGGGTTAAGGTAAAGCCTCACCCCCCTAGGCTTGGATGGGGAAGGAAGTGGGGTTTGGGGTTGAGGGGAGAGTGGGCAGGCAAGCAGAGGGGAGTTGGGGCTTAGATAAAGCCTCACCTCCCTATGCCTGGATTTAGGGTAGCAGGTGGGGTTTCGGGTTGAGGGCAGAGTGGGCAGGCAGGTAGAGGGGAGTTGGGGTTTAGGTAAAGCCTCACCTCCCTATGCCTGGATGGGGAAGCAAGTGGGGTTTAGGGTTGAGGGGAGAGTGGGCAGGCAAGCATAGGGGAGTTGGGGTTTAGATAAAGCCTCACCTCCCTAGGCCTGGATTTAGGGTAGCAGGTGGGGTTTCGGGTTGAGGGCAGAGTGGGCAGGCAGGTAGAGGGGAGTTGGGGTTTAGGTAAAGCCTCACCTCCCTATGCCTGGATGGGGAAGCAAGCGGGGTTTGGGGTTGAGGGGAGAGTGGGCAGGCAAGCAGAGGGGAGTTGGGGTTTAGGTAAAGCCTCACCTCCCTATGCCTGGAAGGGGAAGCAAGTGGGGTTTGGGGTTGAGGGGAGAGTGGGCAGGCAAGCAGAGGGGAGTTGGGGTTTAGGTGAAGCCTCACCTCCCTATGCCTGGAAGGGGAAGCAAGTGGGGTTTGGGGTTGAGGGGAGAGTGGGCAGGCAAGCAGAGGGGAGTTGGGGTTTAGGTAAAGCATCACCCCCCTAAACCTGGATGGGAAGCAAGTGGGGTTTCGGGTTGAGGGGAGAGTGGGCAGGCAAGCAGAGGGGAGTTGGGGTTTAGATAAAGCCTCACCTCCCTAGGCCTGGATTTAGGGTAGCAGATGGGGTTTCGGGTTGAGGGCAGAGTGGGCAGGCAGGTAGAGGGGAGTTGGGGTTTAGGTAAAGCCTCACCTCCCTATGCCTGGATGGGGAAGCAAGCGGGGTTTGGGGTTGAGGGGAGAGTGGGCAGGCAAGCAGAGGGGAGTTGGGGTTTAGGTAAAGCCTCACCTCCCTATGCCTGGAAGGGGAAGCAAGTGGGGTTTGGGGTTGAGGGGAGAGTGGGCAGGCAAGCAGAGGGGAGTTGGGGTTTAGGTAAATCCTCACCTCCCTATGCTTGGAAGGGGAAGCAAGTGGGGTTTGGGGTTGAGGGGAGAGTGGGCAGGCAAGCAGAGAGGAGTTGGGGTTTAGGTAAAGCAACACCTCCCTTAACCTGGATGGGAAGCAAGTGGGGTTTCGGGTTGAGGGGAGAGTGGGCAGGCAAGCAGAGGGGAGTTGGGGTTTAGATAAAGCCTCACCTCCTTAAACCTAGATGGGAAGCAAGTGGGGTTTAGGGTTGAGGGGAGAGTGGGCAGGCAGGTAGAGGGGAGTTGGGGTTAAGGTAAAGCCTCACCCCCCTAGGCTTGGATGGGGAAGCAAGTGGGGATTGGGGTTGAGGGGAGAGTGGGCAGGCAAGCAGAGGGGAGTTGGGGTTTAGGTAAAGCATCACCTCCCTAAACCTGGATGGGAAGCAAGTGGGGTTTAGAGTTGAGGGCAGAGTGGGCAGGCAAGCATAGGGGAGTTGGGGTTTAGATAAAGCCTCACCTCCCTATGCCTGGATTTAGGGTAGCAGGTGGGGTTTTGGGTTGAGGGCAGAGTGGGCAGGCAGGTAGAGGGGAGTTGGGGTTTAGGTAAAGCCTCACCTCCCTATGCCTGGATGGGGAAGCAAGCGGGGTTTGGGTTTGAGGGGAGAGTGGGCAGGCAAGCAGAGGGGAGTTGGGGTTTAGATAAAGCCTCACCTCCCTAGGCCTGTATTTAGGGTAGCAGGTGGGGTTTCGGGTTGAGGGGAGAGTGGGCAGGCAAGCAGAGGGGAGTTGGGGTTTAGGTAAAGCCTCACCACCCTATGCCTGTATGGGGAAGCAAGCGGGGTTTGGGGTTGAGGGGAGAGTGGGCAGGCAAGCAGAGGGGAGTTGGGGTTTACATAAAGCCTCACCTCCCTAGGCCTGGGTGGGGAAGCAAGCGGGGTTTAATGTTGTGGTTAGGAGGTGCCTGGATGGCACAGAATGTGTCAGTGTTAAGGAAAAGCTTCAACTCTCTTGTTCCAAGCAGGGGAAGCAAATGGGGCTTATGATTGAGGGGAGAGGGGGCAGACAGGTCGAGCAACAATCTAGGAAATGCACACACAGTGTATCACAGGGAACGCACCTTGAAGTCGACTACCGCTTTGTACACGATTTCGCGATGGTTTGCTAGGGGACTATTGCTGGAGGGAAGGCCTTCCGACGAGCTGGTGCTCGGGCCAGAATGAGGAGGAGTTGCTGCAGGTGCTCCGATTGGGACGGATGGACCAGCACCCCGAAGTATGGCCGACAGCATCTCGGCGAACCTTGCCATCACGCGTCGCTCGAATTGGTCAAGCTCCACGTTTGATACACCACCATGCTCCTGGCGGCGATCACAGGATGCCGCCACAAACGAGGTTTTCTTGACAGGGACGAGTTCATAGCGCTTGGTGGCTTCAGTGATCACCTTCACCGGTGGTGCAGCTCTAGAGTACTGATTGGGAGCTGTTGATTGTATACGGGACGGAAGAGATGGAGGAAAGGTGACTGAGAGACGGGTCGGAGGTGACGGCAGGGATGGGTTGAAGGGGACGGCAGGGATGGGATGATGGGGACGGCAGGGATGGGATGAATGTGACGGCAGGGATGGGATGAAGGTGATGGCAGGGATGGGATGAAGGTGACGGCAGGGATGGGATGAAGGGGACGGCAGGGATGGGATGAAGGTGACGGCAGGGATGGGATGACGGTGACGGCATGGATGGGAGGAAAGCGACGGCAGGGAAGGATGGAAAGCGACGTGACATCAGCAAGCATGCCACGAATAAAAAGTGGTACCATCCCGCAGTGCTATACAATGCGGCAAAAGTCTGACCTTTGGTTTTTGTGTTGGCCTCCTTAGAGGTCGGTTTAGCCCCAGCGCCTGCCTTGGCCTTTACGCCGCTGGTCCCAGCGCCTGCCTTGGCCTTTACCCCGCTGGTCCCAGCGCCTGCCTTGGCCTTTACCCCGCTTGCCCCAGCGCCTGCCTTGGCCTTTACCCCGCTTGCCCCAGCGCCTGCCTTGGCCTTTCCCCCGCTGGTCCCAGCGCCTGCTGCCGTAGGATTTGACTTCGGTTTGGCCGACACTTCACTGGTGTTCTGCTTTTTCTGCGCACCGCCAACCACCAAGGCGAACTCCCGTTTCGACTTCCCACCGAGAATACTCTCGGTCGCCAGAACTTTATCCTTTCCCTTAGCCGATGTGACTGCATCTTTCCCACGCGGTGGCTTAGCAGGAACCTTAGAGGGTTCTGAACGCGGAAGACGTTTCACACCCTTTCTAGCAGGCTTCGAGCTGACAACGGGTTCCTTGATCTCATCGAGTGCCTTCAGCTTCCCAAGCAGCATAGCACGTTCCTCAGCCACAGCCTCATCCTCCATGTCTTCGTCATCAGCGTCACCCTGCTCTTCCAGCATCTCGTCAAAGCTAGCCTTCCTTGTGATTTGAGGCTTGTGCGCATCCGCACCTTCCCCCACTTCCGCCGAATCGCCTTTCTCGCTTCCCTTCTCAGCCTCGTCCTCATCCCCCTGCCCTTCCTCAGATTCCTCGTCCTCCTCTTCCTCCACCTCGTCATCCTCCTCTTCCTCCGCCTCATCATCCTCCTCTTCCTCCGCCTCGTCACCCTCCTCTTCCTCCGCCTCGTCACCCTCCTCTTCCTCCGCCTCGTCACCCTCCTCTTCCTCCGCCTCGTCACCCTCCTCTTCATCCGCCTTCTCTTCAGCATCGTCCTCCGCCAAGTCTTCCTCTTCCGGCTCGTCGCCGGCCTCGTCTACTGCCTCGTCCACCTCTTTTTCGCCCACGTCACCCGACTTGCCGTTGGCCTCAGCTTCGTCCTCGTGTTTCTGGTTGTCCACATCCTCGCCATCAAGGTTGTTCCCGACATACTTAACAGGATCAGCACCTTCTTCGGTAGCATCCGCCCCTTCCTCAAACCACACTTTCGCCTTTCGAGGGCGGCTGGACTTGCGAAGCTCGCCACCAGGAGGGCCGTCACCGCTAGATGTCCGGGGTTTGGGTGCAGCCTCCGTGCTCTTCTTCTTCGTACCATTCTGCACCTTGCCTGGACTTTGCACGGGGCCACCCGTGGCTGTGTTTTTCTTGGTCACCGCCTTCGAGACCTGCAGTTTAGTCGACATGTTGCGCAATAGCCCCGGGAAAGATGATAGGACGTTAGAAATCCGGAACTGCAGGGACTAATTGTAGCGGAAGAGGGGATCGGTACTTACTACGTTTATAATGGACCGTTTTATATCAGGATATGTATCGCTTAAACGACCAAGGAACTCGATGAAGAGACGTACCTTTGAGCGATTCGGTCGCGGTCACGATACGGGTCGCCAAGTAGCACGATTCCGGAACGGCTACACTCATGAAGGGTCGACGCGGCACGCTAACGATGGGGTGGTGGATGGCGTGAGCGGCGCCGCGAGTTGCCATGAATGGAGGCGTTGGTGAGTGAGATTATGGAGCTCTCACGGTACTGTCACGGCTGAGGGTAAGACAGTGAGATGCACATCGATACGTGCAACTATGCGCGGCCGTCTATGCGGACCGACGGTAAGATAATGAGAGCGCGACGTCGCGGATATTAGGCACTGAAAACCTGCGCCGTGTTGCTGATTGAGGGGAGCATGAGTAAGTCGCTGAAAAAAGAGGGGGGAAAGGTGACCGGACCTAAGCCAACGGGAAGGAGTTGGTGTTCCTGCGTCGTGACTGCTATCACGAGCGGTAGCTTGAGACCACAGCATCGTGTGACACGATGCTCGCTGAGACTCTGCCAGGCGTTACCATGGGCTGTGCAACGAGGTTCACGCGCTCACGTTGGTTTTGTACAAGACGACAAGTGCGACCTTGCCCACCTGACAGAATTGCGGTTTACAACGTGGCAATTCCACACTGTTTAGTTCTGTTGTTTTGGAATCTTGTAGAATATTTTGCCACGGAATTTTTATTTGTTACAGTAGGAGCGTTTGGGAGTCCGTCTCGCCAACATTGTAGTATTAGGTGAGTAACAACGGTTGAGTATGAGGATCCTAGTTAGGCCCTGTTTTAGTTAAGTCGAGTGTTTCACGCTGTTTCGAGTGATGCCTTGTTTCAGGTGTTTCGAGTACTGGCATGTCCTCCGAATGAAAAAAAAAAAGCCACGACAATAAAATAAGGATAGACTGAGTGTGGTGAAGCAGGTTCACCGTATTGTACGGTTGCACCAGGCTTGGCACATTTATTCGCGTAGCCCGTAGCACCTCCAAAATATCGAGCTTAGACGGAAGTCATCGGTTGGATGAACAAATGGCTGCTTCCCGGCCCCACCGAAACTTAGCGCTATACGTGCAGCATCCGCGTTTTTCACTGGGTAAAATTTTACAGACAACATTAGATGGAAACGACTGTCAACTGGCCACGTGGGAAGTTTCGCCAACTTCACAAAACTCCAAATGCATTGCAGTTGTCCTTGTCTTGTTTCTGTCGAAAGCTCCCGTGGCGTTTTCGCCACACCATTTTGCTGCCCAACACGCAATGATTCTTCGCATGCCCCAAGTACAGTATTCATAAGAGTGGCTGAGGCTGCCGCAGTAGTCGCAGTGCTCAGTTAAAATATCGCTGGAACACAACATCTACGCTAGCTACAGGTGGTCATAAGGCAGTCTTGTCATTTTAAACAACAACAAACAAAACCAGTTGGCAACGGGTGACCGTGAACACTTTGAGGTAAAACCAAAGCACCAATCAAAACAAGACTGCTCTGACAGGCAGCATAGTTCATACCATCATCCTTCCAAGTGGGTTCGATAGAAATGATACATTATGGGATCATTCTACAGAGACACTACACTGTCAAGTAGCCAAGGGACCATTCATAAAATGGCATAGTCTTAGATGTAACTAAAGGATGGATATGTTGAAGGTTCTTTTGTCACGGTCTGCATCGCGACGTCCCTGACAGCAATGTTTGGATTTTAGGGTAAGTGATATGTAATAGAGAGGGGGAATGACTCTCTAACCATGATTTCCTACCCTATACATTTTGGACAGAGCGCATTCTTTGTGGGGTGACTTTAAGTAGTGTTGTGAACCTTCCATTCCATTTTCAGCTCCTACGGAGCACTCTAGGTGGGTTGGTTGGATGATGAGCTAGTGTAGCTAATGATGCTACCGAATGCTGTTCTGTATAAGTTCTGGGCAGGCTTATGGGGAAATGCGCCGATTGATAGCCTAGACATTTTGGATTGGGATGCACTCCTGGGAGGATCTTAGTAATGGTATCATGATCCTCCCATCCCAAAATGGGCCTCGTCGGAGCACGTTTGGTTGGTCGTTCGACAAACGTGCTACCGAATGCTGTTCTATACAAGTTCTGGGCAGGCTTATGGGGAAATGCGCCGATTGATAGCCTAGACATTTTGGATTGGGATGCACTCCTGGGAGGATCTTATTAATGGTATCATGATCCTCCCATCCCAAAATGGGCCTCGTCGGAGCACGTTTGGTTGGTCGTTCGATAAACGTGCTACCGAATGCTGTTCTGTACAAGTTCTGGGCAGGCTTATGGGGAAATGCGCCGATTGATAGCCTAGACATTTTGGATTGGGATGCACTCCTGGGAGGATCTTCTTAATGGTATCATGATGCTCCCTTCCTAAAATGGGTCTTGTCGGAGCACGTTTGGTTGGTCGTTCGACAAACGTGCTACCGAATGTTGTTCTGTACAAGTTCTGGGCAGGCTTATGGGGAAATGCGCCGATTGATAGCCTAGACATTTTGGATTGGGATGCACTCCTGGGAGGATCTTCGTAATGGTATCATGATCCTCCCATCCCAAAATGGGCCTCGTCGGAGCACGTTTGGTTGGTCGTTCGACAAAGGTGCTACCGAATGCTGTTCTGTACAAGTTCTGGGCAGGCTTATGAAAAAATGCGCCGATTGATAGCCTAGACATTTTGGATTGGGATGCACTCCTGGGAGGATCTTATTAATGGTATCATGATCCTCCCATCCCAAAATGGGCCTCGTCGGAGCACGTTTGGTTGGTCGTTCGACAAACGTGCTACCGAATGCTGTTCTGTACAAGTTCTGGGCCGGCTTTTGGGGAAATGCGCCGATTGATAGCCTAGACATTTTGGATTGGGATGCACTCCTGGGATGATCTTAGTAATGGTATCATGATCCTCCCATCCCAAAATGGGCCTCGTCGGAGCACGTTTGGTTGGTCGTTCGACAAACGTGCTACCGAACGCTGTTCTGTACAAGATCTGGGCAGGCTTATGGGGAAATGCGCCGATTGATAGCCTAGACATTTTGGATTGGGATGCACTCCTGGGAGGATCTTATTATTGGTATCATGATGCTCCCTTCCTAAAATGGGCCTCGTCGGAGCACGTTTGGTTGGTCGTTCGACAAACGTGCTACCGAATGCTGTTCTGTACAAGTTCTGGGCAGGCTTATGGGGAAATGCGCCGATTGATAGCCTAGACATTTTGGATTGGGATGCACTCCTGGGAGGATCTTATTAATGGTATCATGATGCTTCCTTCCTAAAATGGGCCTCGTCGGAGCACGTTTGGTTGGTCGTTCGACAAACGTGCTACCGAATGCTGTTCTGTACAAGTTCTGGGCAGGCTTATGGGGAAATGCGCCGATTGATAGCCTAGACATTTTGGATTGGGATGCACTCCTGGGAGGATCTTATTAATGGTATCATGATGCTCCCTTCCTAAAATGGGCCTCGTCGGAGCACGTTTGCTTGGTCGTTCGACAAACGTGCTACCGAATGCTGTTCTGTACAAGTTCTGGGCAGGCTTATGGGGAAATGCGCCGATTGATAGCCTAGACATTTTGGATTGGGATGCACTCCTGGGAGGATCTTATTAATGGTATCATGATGCTCCCTTCCTAAAATGGGCCTCGTCGGAGCACGTTTGCTTGGCCGTTCGACAAACGTGCTACCGAATGCTGTTCTGTACAAGTTGTGGGCAGGCTTATGGGGAAATGCGCCGAGTGATAGCCTAGACATTTTGGATTGGGATGCACTCCTGTGAGGATCTTAGTAATGGTATCATGATCCTCCCATCCCAAAATGGGCCTCGTCAGAGCACGTTTGGTTGGTCGTTCGACAAAGGTGCTACCGAATGCTGTTCTGTACAAGTTCTGGGCAGGCTTATGGGGAAATGCGCCGATTGATAGCCTAGACATTTTGGATTGGGATGCACTCCTGGGAGGATCTTATTAATGGTATCATGATCCTCCCATCCCAACGTCAGCTCCTGCGGAGCACCCTAGGTTGGTTGTTTGGAAGATGAGCTACGGTAGTTTAGCTTGGATTTTCGCTGCCTTATGGGGCAAGGCATGATTACCTGCCCGCCGCATATTGGAATGAGCCGATTATTTGTGTGGTGTCTCTAGTTAGTGCTATGAAACTCCCATCCCATTCTCAGCTTCTGCGGATCACCCTAGGTTGGTTGTTTGGAAGATATCACAGTTTAGCTGATTTTGCTGCGATTTCCGCAGCCTTATGGGGCAAGGCATGATTACCTGCCCGCCACATATTGGATTGAGCTGATTCTTTGTGTGGTGACTCTAAGTTGTGCTGTGGACCTTCAATCCCATTTTCAGTTACTGCGGAGCACTCTAGGTTGGTTGTTTGGAAGATGACATAAAACGCCATATTTTACTGCGATTCAGGCCGTCATATGGGGCAAGGCCAGATCTCCTATCCTATAACATATTAGTCCAATAGTCAGTAGTCAGTAGGGTCGGTTAAATGAAACCATGGTTACATAATTTTTGATAGTGGGTTCAGTTAATATCATTGTTCAAATCTATGAATGGCACATTTTGTTATGCATACGTCTTATCATTTGTGTGCACAGTGTTGTGTCTAAATCGTGAATAGCATTGCAGTCGACTTTCGAAAGTTTGAAGTTGTGGTATGAGGCACAGGGAATCAGGCGCTGCACGCACACACCAACCCTATCCTGAAGGCTGCAAACCCTAATTTCGTCAAGGTTCCCGATCCGCCTCCTCGCGATTCGTGTATTGCACCTCATATCGTGCCCCCAGGTCGCGCCGTCAGCGACTCGTCGTAATCACATGGCTGTCGTGCCTTTGGGTAGCTCGCACTGTAGCGTTATTCCCCGTCACGATGTCCATCCGCTACCTTATATTGAATGGCCTTCTCGCTATTCATCGACTCTTTGTAGCGGGTGCGTATTTAAACGCCACGGCGATATGCAGAGGCAAAGGAACGACGGACTAATGTCGCGCTGCCATGGATCGTTCTAGTCCTGTTCGGTGTGCACACTGTGGACGAGAGTTTTCAGACTGTTTCGTCCTAGGAAGGCACCGGGCTGGCAACACACCCTGCAACCCCAACTCTGCAGAGCATCGCGCAGGCAGTGGTCATAGGCGCCCTAACATAGCATACATTGTGCCTGCATCGCTCCCGCACTTCGTCAGACATGGCAGTTCCGCGTCGCAAGATGCAACTCAAGAGACACTGCCAACATCGTCTAGTGGCGTGGGCTGTGAGAGTCGTGTTGATCCTGAAGGATCTTCTCCACACCCCTCAACGCCCCAGTCGTCCAGCCAAGGGGCGGAGCAGCCCCCAACCACATGTCCAGATAATCCTGGATTCGGTTCTGCTGCCAGGCCTTCGTTTCCCGATGGCAGCGACATCCATCCCGCTTTGATACACCTGTTGGAGCAACTCGATTCGCTGAATGGCGGCATGGGCTTATCGAACATGGATACTAACAAGGTGCTGCAGCTAATTATCCATCCAGAGTTGGCCCCGCTGCTGGTAGAGGGGAATGTCCGTAGCTTCCGTGATGTGGAGATGCTACAGAAGGAATATCTGGCTGACACGGGACGTGGATTCGAGTCGACCACATTTTATGTGGAGGGCTTTCCACCGCAAGTGATGCTTCACCGCGATCCACTGAGGGTGAGTTTGCTGACGTAGTTTCGGGTACCCGGGATGAAACTGAAGGGCATTGGCTTGACTACATGTCCTGGCGGCATCATGCGTCACTCTCATATTGTGTAGGGTGCTAACCGGCCTATGTACGTGCTGTATATGATATTGCAGGCCCTGGCGGATATGTTTAGGCACAAGCACAATGCGCCTGGCTTCAGAATGGGACCGAGGAGAGACAAGGACAGCGAGAGTGGGCATCGGGCATATTCCACTGCAGAAACTGGCACATGGTGGCAAGAAGCACAGGTGAGGGCTATTGATAGCTTTTTGCAGTTGCGAGAGATGGTGAGTGATGGGACGGGAGGTGCAGAGATTGTGAGTGCAAGGTGATGGGTAGTTTACACTCCCCTCACATCACTCGCACCTTGCATATGTTCCACACCTACCACTCACCATGCATGGTCCCAGCTTTCAGCTGTTGTGCCCTTTTCGAGTCAGCAATGTTTACCGCGCAGAGACATTGCCTTTCCCCTCGACCCAATCTATCCATTCTTTGCGTTATGTGCAGGAATTCATTGGCATGGACAAGATTGTTGCGGCGCTGATACTGTACAGTGATGTCACGCACTTGAGCAACAACGGAAGGAAGAAGGCGCACCCGGTCGTGATGACACTGGGGAATATTGCATTCCCCAAACGCTGGGGCCGGCCCGGGCACTCCCTGTTGGCGCTGTTACCCATCCCACCCTCGAACATGCCGTCGCACTTGAAGGTGGAGCTCTACAACGCGTGTATTGCTAAGCTACTTGAGCCACTTCTCCGCCTTAAAGACAAGTGAGTGGTGCAAATGCTGGTGTGTACCGAATCTTTATCTTACTGGTGAGTCATGCCCCATAAAAGGAGTGCGGTGCTTGGAAGTAATGAATATTGTTAACCAGCCTGTGTTTCCACCCTGTTTCATGGCTGCCCGAAAACTGTGCAGTGGTGTCATGCTGCTGGACTCAGAGGGCATCGAGCGATGGGTCGTTCCTTTGCTGTACGCTTGGGCTTGTGACTATCCCGAGTCCGGGAAACTGACATGTACCAAATCTGGCCAGGGCTGCATGAAGCCGTGCAGCCTCTGCTATGTCGACAGGGTACGTCAACATGTACACTCGGGGTGGGGATGTGCTGGGATGGGAGGTGCTGGAATGGGGATGGCAAGGATGGGCGGTGGTGGGATGGGGAGTGCTGGGAGGGGGGGGGGTGCTGGGATGGTGAGTGCTGGGATGGTGAGTGATGGGATGGTGAGTGATGGGAGGGTGAGTGCTGGGATGGTGAGTGCTGGGATGGTGAGTGCTGGGATGGTGAGTGCTGGGATGGTGAGTGCTGGGATGGTGAGTGCTGGGATGGTGAGTGCTGGGATGGTGAGTGCTGGGATGGTGAGTGCTGGGATGGTAAGTGCTGGGATGGTGAGTGCTGGGATGGTAAGTGCTGGGATGGTGAGCAGCCCCCAACCACATGTCCACATGTCTGTGTATGTGTGTGTCTAATGGTCTCTCTTGCTCGTCCCCTTTATGCTAAAAATTCCAACGCCCACCACAGGAAAGCCTGTCATCTGTGGAGCTACTCAACAACGTTCGCACACCCGCACAACAGCAGTGGGTTAGAGACGAGGCAGCTGGAGTCGCTGCCGGAGCGGATGACAATCCGCTGAAGTTGTACTCAACGTTCGACATCGACGTATGTATTTGATGCCAGCTCGTAGGCTCATAGACACAGCAACCTCTGGTGTCTATTGGTGTCAAGTGTTTCCCTAACCATCGCATTCCCTGCTGCGCTGTACCACCTGCACAGTGTGCTTTATGGAAGTGGCAGGTTGGATCATTGCTGTGGGGAAATCCTTTTCTCGCTGTCATGGCGGACATCATGCACCAGGCAGACCTGGGGATGCTGGACCACATCGTGGTGTGCATCCGCGCCCAACACCCAACGATGATGAAGATTCTGGATTTGTGAGTACCCCTTGGACCACCCGCCTGGAGATGCCCCTTCAAGAAGCCATCGTTACAATGTTGGCATGTCAAGCCTACATTTGTGAGCACATGGTAGTGTGTCAGCTCAACTTTATTCCATCCTGATCTGCCGCCCCCCATATCCGAAATCTTTCCATCCCACCGTACGCAGGCGCCTTCTACGGCTCACCCTGAAAACACGGATCAACTCTTTGCGTTTTCCGAAGAGCGAATACTTCAAAACCGGGGCACAAGTCGCAGCTTTTGAACATAGATCGGTCATGCAGGTATGATGCTTAGAGGCCTTGCAGACCATGGAGAGGTGGAAGGGGGAGGGTGGGAACAGTGGGCCGAGCTGGGCAGGGACGGAAGAGGAAGGGGAGAGAAGATGGGCTGGTGGAGAAGGCACTGCTGTAAACTCGCTTGAAGTCATTCATGGGAAGAAGCTCCTTCAATCTTTTCTCTCACCTTTCCTACACACCATGCTGCATGCATCCAGGTGTTGATCTTTTTGGTGGCTGACGTTGTCGGCTCGCCCCAGCTGGAGGCCATCAGAGCATACCTTGACTGGTATCTCTGCTGCAACGCCGCCTCTCACACCGAGAGAAGTCTTTCCGAACTACAAGCCAAATCAACAAGGTACCTCACCAAACGAAACAACCTAAACCATCTAACTCCCCTAGTGATTCCATCCCTTACAAATTGAACGCTTATCCATATACTCCTTCATTTATTCATGCTCCCACCCATCCCAGGCTGGTGAAACTACTCACGGCTGCCTTCCCCGAGCAGAAATCAAGTTGGAACCTCATCAAAACACACTTGATGACTCATTTCATCCCTGGCATTCGACGAGCTGGGAATGTGCAAGAGTACAGCACCAACCTCTTCGAACACCAGCATAGCACCCTGCTGAAGCAAATCTACAGGAGATCGAATAAGCGGAAAGTGGACACGCAGATCATGAAGCACCACGAGATGAAGCTTGACTCCATCAGCAACGTGGCCACCGACCAAGGCGTGCAAACGGCTATGCAAAAGGTAGGTGCTGTGAGGGGAGGCGCTGAGATGGTGAGTGCGATGAGGGGAGGTGCTGAGATGGTGAGTGCGGTGAGGGGAGGTGCTGAGATGGTGAGTGATGTGAGGGGAGGTGCTGAGATGGTGAGTGCTGTGAGGGGAGGCGCTGAGATGGTGAGTGCTGTGAGGGGAGGTGCTGAGATGGTGAGTGCTGTGAGGGGAGGTGCTGAGATGGTGAGTGCTGTGAGGGGAGGTGCTGAGATGGTGAGTGCTGTGAGGGGAGGTGCTGAGATGGTGAGTGCTGTGAGGGGAGGCACTGAGATGGTGAGTGCTGTGAGGGGAGGTGCTGAGATGGTGAGTGCTGTGAGGGGAGGTGCTGAGATGGTGAGTGCTGTGAGGGGAGGTGCTGAGATGGTGAGTGCTGTGAGGGGAGGTGCTGAGATGGTGAGTGCTGTGAGAGGAGGTGCTGAGATGGTGAGTGCTGTGAGGGGAGGCGCTGAGATGGCGAGTGCTGTGTGGGGAGGTGCTGAGATGGTGAGTGCTGTGAGGGGAGGTGCTGAGATGGTGAGTGCTGTGAGGGGAGGTGCTGAGATGGTGAGTGCTGTGGGGGGAGGTGCTGAGATGGTGAGTGCTGTGAGAGGAGGTGCTGAGATGGTGAGTGCTGTGAGGGGAGGCGCTGAGATGGTGAGTGCTGTGTGGGGAGGTGCTGAGATGGTGAGTGCCGTGAGGGGAGGTGCTGAGATGGTGAGTGCTGTGAGGGGAGGCACTGAGATGGTGAGTGCTGTGAGGGGAGGTGCTGAGATGGTGAGTGCTGTGAGGGGAGGTGCTGAGATGGTGAGTGCTGTGAGGGGAGGTGCTGAGATGGTGAGTGCTGTGAGGGGAGGTGCTGAGATGGTGAGTGCTGTGAGGGGAGGTGCTGAGATGGTGAGTGCTGTGAGGGGAGGTGCTGAGATGGTGAGTGCTGTGAGGGGAGGTGCTGAGATGGTGAGTGCTGTGAGGGTAGGCGCTGAGATGGTGAGTGCTGTGAGGGGAGGTGCTGAGATGGTGAGTGCTGTGAGGGGAGGTGCTGAGATGGTGAGTGCTGTGAGGGGAGGTGCTGAGATGGTGAGTGCTGTGGGGGGAGGTGCTGAGATGGTGAGTGCTGTGAGAGGAGGTGCTGAGATGGTGAGTGCTGTGAGGGGAGGTGCTGAGATGGTGAGTGCTGTGTGGGGAGGTGCTGAGATGGTGAGTGCCGTGAGGGGAGGTGCTGAGATGGTGAGTGCTGTGAGGGGAGGTGCTGAGATGGTGAGTGCGGTGAGGGGAGGTGCTGAGATGGTGAGTGCTGTGAGGGGAGGTGCTGAGATGGTGAGTGCTGTGAGGGGAGGTGCTGAGATGGTGAGTGCTGTGAGGGGAGGTGCTGAGATGGTGAGTGCTGTGAGGGGAGGCGCTGAGATGGTGAGTGCTGTGAGGGGAGGTGCTGAGATGGTGAGTGCTGTGAGGGGAGGTGCTGAGATGGTGAGTGCTGTGAGGGGAGGTGCTGAGATGGTGAGTGCTGTGAGGGGAGGTGCTGAGATGGTGAGTGCTGTGAGGGGAGGTGCTGAGATGGTGAGTGCTGTGAGGGGAGGCGCTGAGATGGTGAGTGCTGTGAGGGGAGGTGCTGAGATGGTGAGTGCTGTGAGGGGAGGTGCTGAGATGGTGAGTGCTGTGAGGGGAGGTGCTGAGATGGCGAGTGCTGTGAGGGGAGGTGCTGAGATGGTGAGTGCTGTGATGTGAGGGGAGGGTGAGTGCTGAGATGGGAGGGTGAGTGCTGAGATGGTGAGTGCGGTGATGGGAGGGTGAGTGCTGAGATGGTGAATGCGGTGAGTAGGAGTGCCTGGCGGGACAGCTCGGGCTGGGTGGCATGGAAAGTTTGCCGGCAGGTCCTTGGTGGGTAGCAGGGGAAGAGTTAGCTCAAGGCAGGGGAGGGGGCAGTGAAAGAGGAAGTGCAGGGCAGGGAGGGGAGCAAACGAAGGGGGAGAATGGTGTGCTTTTTTTCCAATCTCTGCCTTTTCTGACACGTGCCAGGCCATCGAGGATGGAGCTCGGGTGATGGTGAAGGAGTCCTACTTCCACGTGAAACCCGATGACGTCACTCCCATTGCCAACTGGTTTGTCCGTGAGTGGGCGAAGCTCCACAGCGAGGCACACCATGCCTTTGCGGGTGCATTGCTTCGACGCCAGCTGAGGCCAACGAAAGTTCGTGTAAGTGGTGACAATGGTGACATCAAGCAGATACCATATGTAACTGAATGTTACTTTGTACTGATTTGTGTCTCTTACTGGTTGCAGGCTCACACAACACTTGCCATCCCTGCTGCAGAAGATGCGAGTTTCGCCCGTGTAGCACATTTCGTGAAAGCAACCCCGCTGTCTCACTCTAGGCCGTGGTTCTCTGATGTTGCCATCGTGGGAACAACAGCGACAGGTGAAGAGACGGAGTGGTACGGAAGGCTCTTGTTGCTGTTCCATACGAAAGAGAGAGGGTGCACGAAGGAGTGGGCATATGTGAAGTACTGGTCAAGCGCAGGCGAGGATGCAAAAACAGGGTGCAAACGTCTTAGGTGGGCAACTGGGGTATCGCGCTACTCAGTGATTGACACTGAAAGCATACTGCGCCAGGTGCACATTATCAAGTCTTACCACTGCAAAAATGCATTCTATCTTAACAAGTACCTGCTAAATTAGATATAAATCCTACGCGCATCTGTACTTTTTCATAGGCAACCAAACCTGTTTTGTATTAAGAGGCAAGATTACATGCAATAACAACTAATCACTGTACAGGGTATATATGTACATGCACATGTGATTGTTTAACCAGCAGCCTTTCAATATTATAAGACATAACTTTGACTTGATGTAAAATTTGTTTTCAAGAAACACTGTAGGCTCATCTTGGTCCGTAATTACTCCTATGCGAGACCATTTTTGCAGGGCCCAAACGCACCCTATCGCCACGTCTCGTCGTGCGCCAAGCAAAGCTGTGGCTCGGTGACCCAGAAATATTTGCGGGAAACCAATGCACCCCATTCTCGAAACTGATTTTTCAACCTGGTCAAAAGAGCACTGTACACCTGACATTGACCAAAATTGGGCCAATTTCGGTTCGCCGAGGCGCACAATGTCTCGCGAGTCGGTTCGGATGCGCGAAAGCAGATCGAAATCTGAGAATGACACATTTACGCTGGTGGTTGGGCGAAAAAGGTTGGACAACCCACGCAACCCAACTTCCGAAACCAATTCGACCCGTTTCCAAGCGATTAAAAAACGAGGGGTTTTTGTGATGTACTCTCACTCTCAGCTAGTAGCTTCGCACGCTCGCTTTCAAGAGCGTCTTCTGCCAGTCGTGTGTTTTCACTAGCAACCACGACAAGATCAACGCGCCGTGCATCATCCCTCGCCACGTCATCATGTCGTTCCTTGCCTGCGTGCTGCAACTCGCCGCGCTTCTCTCAGCCGCCACCACCACAGCCCTGGATGGCAATCATACCAGCAGAGTGGTGACTAAGCACCTATCGCGTGTCGCGGGAGATGCCACATTCGTTGCATACCTTCGTCGTTCATCCGTCGTCGCTCGTCGCCTGAGCGACGGAGTTGCACAGCCAGCCGCACATCGCGAAAGTGTGAGGCTCGAAAAGTTGCGGGCCAGCAGCTTCAAAGTTGCTTTTCCGCAAAAAAGCTTCTGAAAAGCAACTTTGAAGCTGCTGGCCTGCAACTTTTCGAGCCTCACACTTTCGCGATGCAGCGGACCCACGTCCGGGTGATGTGAAGCTCGTATACGCGATATAAACGTCGGCCACGATGGTTACAACTGGCGCGGCGTGTGGTATTGCCTCACCACCCGGAACTGTCCCTCCCTTCATCTCTCCCTCCTTCTCTCTCTACCCTCTCCCCTCCCCTCCCCTCTCTCTGCCCTCTCCCCTCCCCTCCCCCTCCGCCTCCCACTTTCCCTCCCCCTCCCCATCCGCCTCCCCTTTTACTCCCCGACCCCCTCCCCCTTCTCCCTTCCCCCTCTCCCCCCCTCTCCCCCCCCCCCCTCCCCTTCCCCCTCCCTTCCACGGTGGCTTTTATAAGAATCCCGGTACAAGATGGTAGCTCTAGCTAACCCCTCTTAATGGCCTTGGAGATGAGAGTCTTGTAGAAGCCTTTGATGGAAAGCACTTGAAGAAGTTGTGTAGGGAGTTGTGTGAGAGAGCTCTCAATGACTGAGGCAAAACATTCCCATTTCCAATTGATTAGTTGGATTGGGAGGTGAAGAATGAGCTAGGGAGCTCAAACCCCCTCAATACACCCCTTGGGGGACTTTCTCAACCATGGGTTCCATGGTGGGATGGTCCCTAGGCTTGGAGACTATGTGGCAATTAGTTGGGTTGGGAAATCCCAACCTAGAACCATTTGTATGATTGTTTTTAAGATAGAGTAGTTTGTAACATTGAACTAGCAGTTTGTGATTGGTTCGAAATCCAACCTTTGTGATTTCACTTTGATGGGTTAGGTTTGGACACACCTAACCAACCCTTCGTGTCCAACCCTTCCTTCCCAACCCCAACTACAATCTCCCGCAACTCAACATTCATTGAGCTCAATCTCGATGGTTGCCTTCGGAGTGAGGAAGGTCAATAGGTAGGAGTAGGGAATGCGTACACTCCTCCCTCCTAGGTGGACGTCCCCGTTGCCCAAGGGTGCTTCTGAGGACGAGTGCTTCGAGCACGGCGCACCACATTACAACCAGGGTTAACCCCATCCACTGGTTGTTTCTGCTTGTAGAGCCAGGTTTTCCATATACGCTTGAACCGCTGCTTCGGTCAAGTTTCCTTCAGGCTCCCATGAGTTGTGTTCGGGCCCATATCCTTTCATCTGAATTAGGAACTCACGAACTGTTTTGCGGTCGCGTTATCGATCACGGTGTGTTAGCACATGCTCGACTTCATAAAAGAGTTCCTCCCCGAGAACGATGGTTGGTGGTGGTAAGTACTTGCCTTCTGCAACGTACTTATTCAACAGAGACACGTGAAAGATGTTGTGAATCTGCAATGTCGCTGGCATTTTGAGCCTATAGGCGACCTCACCAACACGCGCAATCACCTCGAAGGGCCCAATCCAACGAGGGAAGAGCTTTCGTGCTCCCGGGATCTTGAGACGAATATTCTTCGTACTCAGTAATACTTTGTCGCCAACTGCAAAGACGACTTCCCGGCGTTTCAAGTCGGCATAGGAATTTTACCTCTGTTGGGCAAGCTGCAGCCAATGGCGAGCGGACTTCAATGTCGATTGCTGTTTTCCAATAAAGTCGTTTGCGGCTGGGATTTTGAGGTTCTTAATCCCATTCGTCGCAGGGGTTGTGGGTTGCCGACCACAGTTCAGGACAACGGGTTTCTCATGGGTGCTTTCACATACAGAATTGTTCACAGCGAATTCCACGATTGGCAACAATTCATCCCAATCGTCCTGAGTTGGGCTTATGAAAGAACAAAGCATTTGCTCAAGGGTGCGGTTGGTCCGCTCTGTCTGTCCATCCGTTTGTGGGTGGATAGCTGACGACATCTTGAGTTTCGTTCCGAGAGTCTTAATGACCTCATGCCAGAATTGGCTTGTGAAGCGCGGGTCTTGGTTGGACATGTTGGAATAACTGAACAGGAATGAATGAACTAGCAGTAAAATGAGTACAAGTACCTAACCCTGAAATTGTGTACCCCCTATAGGCTAACCCACTGTAGCCTAAACTAACACAACATATATAATGTTTGACACACCCCCATAGGCAAAGTGGGGGAGAACTAGGGGTCACAAGACCAGTCAAGGCAAAGCAAGGCAAAACAAGCTCAGGGTGGATCTCAAGGATACCACTCAAATTCCGAGCACAAGCAAGTGGTCACAAGACCAGTTCACATGCAGGTTTATAATAGAGCAAAAGGTACAATGATCACAACCTACCAAGAGTAAACATACAGGTAAATATATAGGGATCACAGTACAAACAGACTCAAGAAGTAAGCAAGTGAGGTCCAGTAGGCACAAGGCCTAGAAGAGTGCAAAAGCGCTGATGGTCACAAGGATGAAGCGCCTTGGTGAACACATCAGCAATGTTGGCCTCAGAGGCCACGTAGCGCAGGCGAAGCTGACCACGCTGCTGCAGCTCTCGAGCAAGGAAGTAACGCAGAGCAATGTGCTTCGTTCTGTGCTCCAGTCTGTGCTCCTCACACAAGGCAATGGCTGCCTTGTTGTCGACGTACAGCGCGGGAGGAGAACGAGGCTGCTCTCCAAGGTCAGTCAGCAAGTAGGTGAGCCAGCGTAGCTCCTGGGCCGCCATGGCTGTGGTGTAGATCTCAGAAGCTGAGAACAGAAGAAGAGCGAGTAGAACGCCAAGAAACAGAACCAGAGCCAAGACTGAAGGAGTAACCCTGAGACGACCGGTGAGTAGCCTGGTCGTCTGCCCAAGAAGCGTCTGAGTGCCCAGTGAGAACAACCGGGACTCGCCCTCCAAGCACTAGCCCCATGCCCGACGTAGTGCACAAGTAGCGCAACACCCTCTTAGCTGCATCCATGTGCTCCTTCCGGTGACGGCCGGGAGCGACATAGCATGCAAGAATGCTGAGAGGGTATGCAAGGTCTGGTCGAGTGCAGGTCATCAGGTACATGAGGCAACCCACAAGCTCTTGATACGGGCCACTCGGCTCCGAAGGCAGAGCTGAGAGCGAGTGACCGGTAGGCAGAGGAGTGGGCTGAGGCGAGGAGTACGTGAAGCGGAAGCGCTGAAGCACCTGCTGCACCATGTGTGACTGAGTCAAGGTGATGGTGCGGCGCGCTCTGTCCCGGGTGATCAGCAAGCCAAGATAGCTTGTTAGTTCACCCAGGTCTGTGCACGTGTGTCTCTTCTGCAGCTCTGACTTCACGTGGGCGAGTGCCACTGTGTCAGCAGTAGCAAAAACCAAGTCGTCGACGTACACAACAACGTAGAACGGCGGCAGTGAGGTGTCGGTGCGTAGAAACAGCGACGGGTCAGCGGTAGAAGGCGCGAACCCAAGAGCCGCAAGCGTAGTCCTCAGTGTGTCATGCCACTCACGAGGCGCCTGGCGAAGACCGTAGACAGGCCGTCGAAGGCTCCACTGGGTACCAGGAGGGAACGACCCAGTGAAGCCTGGTGGACGGCGTAGCCAGATCTCCTCGTGCAGGCTGCCCTGCAGGAAAGCAGTGCTGAAGTCAAGCGAGTGGAGCTCGTAGTCACGCTGAGCGGCGACGTGCAGCAGAACCCAAAGAGTGGTCATCTTTGGGGTCAGGGAGAAGGTCTGGAAGAAGTCAACTCCCTCTTGCTGACTGATGCCTCGTGCAACGTAACGCGCCTTGAAGACAGGCGGACAGCCCGGCGGCCGCTTCACCCTGAAAATCCACATGCCACTAAAGATGTTCGCCCCAGGTGGGGGAACCTCGTCGACGTAGGTGCCTGTGGACTTCCAGGAAGCCATCTCTGTATCCATGGCTGACTGCCACTGAGAGGAGTAGGGACCGGCCATCGCCTCTGCGTAAGAGCGTGGGGTCGGGATGTCTGGTGCATCCGGGTCTCCCTCAGGGGCAACCAGCATGGACACGAGATGGGGCAAAGCAGCAGCAAAGCACTCAAACTCCTCCTGCCTGTCCTCAAGGATGTCAGTGCCAAGAGCACATTCACCCCCGACGGACGGAGGACAGACAGACTCAGACTCAGCAACTAGGCTAGCAGCGTAGTCTAGACGACAACGAGCAGCAAAGTCGACAAGCTCAGCAACTAAGGCAGACGCAGCAGCAGACTCAAAGGAAGGGTCACTGACAACAGTAGCCAGGAGACGCGTGTCAGTAGGACTGGCAGCTCAAAGAGAGTCTGACGCAGGGTTAGCTAGAGCAGGAAGAGAAGTATTAGGAGGAGACGGCAGTGGGACACGCTGTGGAGCAGTGGACGGACGAAGCGCCATCCGGTGAGTGCCTGGGACAACAGGAAGACTCTGACGCTGGACACGTCTGCTAGAGAGAGCAGTCGGAGAGGTGACGCAGGGCGAGACTCAGGCTCACGATGCTCAGTAAGACCTCCATTCGGACCAGTGTAAGGAGCAGGACCAGGGAGAGAGGAGGCAGACGATAGCTGCGACTGTAGCTGGACAGACGGAGGACACGCTAAGGAGAGACGGGGATAAGGAGGAGGGAGCTGACCAAGAACCTGCTGTAGGAGCGAAAGGAAGTACGGCCGGGACCAAGCAGCGACACCAGAGTCAGCAGGAACACTCGCCCCAGGGTCTGCAGCAGCAGCGGAAGCTCCACCACCCGGGTCCTCAGCACGAGCTGCAGCTCCAACGCCCGGGTCCGCAGTACCAGCAGCAGCTCCAACGCCCGGGTCCTCAGCACCAGCAGCAGTCCCAACGCCCGGGTCTGCAGCACCAGCGGCAGCTCCAACGCCCGGGTCCTCAGCACCAGCAACAGCTCCAACGCCCGGGGCCGCAGCACTAGCGGCAGCTCCAACGCCCGGGTCCTCAGCACCAGCAGCAGCTCCAACGCCCGGGTTTGCTGCACCAGCGGCAGCTACAATGCCCGGGTCCTCAGCACCAGCAACAGCTCCAACGCCTGGGTCCGCAGCACCAGTGGCAGCTCCAACGCCCGGGTCCTCAGCACCAGCAGCAGCTCCAACGGCAGTGGGGTCCGCAACACGAGGCACACCACTCCGAAGAGTGCAGCGCCGCTTGTACCACTCACGGATCCGCTCGCGGGAGGGGAGCTTGCTAACGGGAGAAGAAGCACCAGCACCTGTCCCAGCAGTACGTCCGACACGAGTGGAACCTCTCTAGAGGCTGCAGTACTCTAAGTACCACGTACGCAGCTGCTCCAAGGAGAGAGCTCCTCTAGGTGTAGGACTTCCAGGCCCAGTACCTCCAGTCCCAGAACACCCAGACTCCGGACTCTGCGGCTCAGCACCACGAGGCTCCACACCCCCAGGCTCCACACCCCCAGGCTCCACACCCCCAGGCTCCACACCCCCAGGCTCTACACCCCAAGGCTCCACACCCCCAGGCTCAGCACCCCCAGGCTCAGCACCCCTAGCAGGACGAGA